ACAGCTCTTTCACTTTCTCCAACGTACTAAAACTTGTTTCAATATTAAATAAACGACTAGAAAAGAAATTACCATATTCAAGAGTTCAGGACCCTTAACGGAAATGAAGTTCATTCCAGTTTCATGGGCAACCGCCTAAAAATACAGATTTATAAATTCATAAGTTATAACGATATTATTTAGAGCATCGAACTTTCGCCAAGAGAGTCTTGCCACATCCCGGAGGTCCGCACAGAAGCACACCCTGCGGCCTAGAGCCGATTCCCATCCGCTCGAATTTTTCGCTCTGTTTGATTGGATACTAAAAGCAAGAAAGATACTGAGTATACTGAAATAAAAATCTTTATTACGGATCAAGAAAGAAAGTTGGTTAAAGGCGTACAGCAGCCATTTACAGTACGCGCAATGAACTTTATAGTTTAAGTCATAGTCTAAAACAATTACGTAAGGTTATAGTACTACCTCACTAGGCCGTAGGCCTTCTGACATATAGAAAAACAGCTGTCCAAAGGAAACTTAACGTGCCTATTTATATTTCTTGATGAGGATAGATATCCATTCGCTAAATATGTTTTTGCTACGTGCCCCCCCCCCCATTCATGGAACCTAGAAGTGTATCCGCTCCCAGGAATTCATGGCAAAAAAATGGAATGAGTTTAAAAAGTTTTTATTGCACATAATACGACGAATTACGTCAAAACTACGTTAACGTACAAGAATAGTCCACTTCAACTCTTCGCGAATGTCACCGAGGGCACCAATGTCATTCCATGTCGTGTTTGGCACGGTACTGAAGCCTTCACGTTTGGAAGAAGGCACAACATTATCCAGTGCTTTCTATAACGAGATAGGTTGAAAAAGTTTATAATATCTAGTTTAAAATATTAATGAATCAGTTGCTTCGAAAAAATGACAATATTCATGCGTTTTCGATCCAGCAGTCTGAGATCACTTACCGACTATGGTGGAATATTCAAGGAATTGAAAAGTATTATGCCTTTTCATAACCCTTTCACTTTTGATACCGGATTGATTTTGCCTTTTATGATCTGAATTTCAAGGCTTTCATAAAATAGTTACTTACTCTGCTGTAAACGCATCAAAAGTCCAATAACTCGTTCTCCATAATCATCGCAAAGAAATCGAAAAATCTCACAATAATTACACATTGTGCTGATTATGACACTGGATAGTCAGCTATCCGGAGGGTCAGAGCAAAATGCAGCTAAAAGGGGCACTGGCACCGGATAGTGTGATAGAAAATGTCGCCTATTCTGGCAT